TCAGGGGCACTTTACCACTAAGCTACATCCCTGGCCCCTTTTATTTTGAGGTAGGGTCTTGCTGGGTTGCCCAGGCTATCCTTGAATTTGCAATCCTCTTTTCCTCAGGCTCCTGAGTCTCTGGGATTAAAGGATACACCACCATGCCTGTCTCTCCTGATGACTTTGAAACAAATGGAAGAGTTTGGAAGCCAAGTTAGTATGGGGTACACTTGATAGAGACTTAGGTATTCTCAAATTAGGTTAATGTTAGAATGTGTAAGTACCTTTTTAAATTGTATCATGAATTGAGAAATCTTCAATGAGAAATTAGTGGGGAGCTGGATATTTGAGAGATTTAATAAGTGATAGTTATGGAAAAGAGTAAATGGAAAAGAAAACAATAGAAATTTTGGTAAAAGAAATAAGGAAATCATAGAGGCTATAAAAGAAGGGTAAAAACTAATATTCATTTAATGTATACTGAGGCCAAAGAGAGCATTATTGTTTAATTTTCATAACCATATCTTTTGGTGGATATGATTGTTTCTATTATACAGATGAGCAAGTTAGGATTTAGAGACGTTAACCCTCTACTTCAAGGCTACACATCCATATGGTAGCTGAGGGAGGATTCAAGATTGAGGTAAATTTACCTGATCCACAGTTGTCTGATTTTAAGGTACATGCTCTTTCTTCCACATGACACTGTCTAGAGTAGAAGGATAAGAGTTACTGAAGAAGATCGAGAAAGGTACAGATCTTGGAAGCCATTGTGGAGTGTTTGGAAAGAGGTATTGGACTTAATGACTGATACAGGACAATGAAGAATGAGTTTGGGGAATAGTCTCCTCAATGGCATTATACAGTTTTTTGTTTTGTTTTGTTTTGTTTTTTTAAAAGATTTAATGGTAAAGAAAATGCTTGAGAATTTGTAATATAGATGCATCCACTCAGGACCCAAAGTCCAGATGCCTACTTTTTGATGCAACCAGTATAGAGTATTTGATTTTATTTTTGGAGTCCTATTTATGTGTCTGACAAAGAAAAAATA